TTCGCCACCCCAAGTCCCGGGAATAAGGTTAACAGTTTCTGTCACTGAACAGCAGGTCCACGTGACTACGGGGTTTAACCCGTCTGTTGTTCATTACACTAATGTGTTATATATATATATATATATATATGTATATTGTACATGGTGGATGACGCATCTGCGAGTAGACAAATAGGTTTATATCATACGTACTACTGGAGAGCATACATACATACATACATACATACTGGAGAGGTATGGTCATATTCGACTTTATTTATTGGCCTTAAATCATTTAATGAAATTCCGGTTTTTATTGGAATAATAATGCGCGCTACACTCAATGTATGATGTATGTATATAATGTGTAAGTGGNGTAAGTGGTAACTAAGAAGACATAAGTGGGTTTGGTCTTCTAAATATCTAGTGAACAGTAAATTACTTAAGGTAACCATTGACGATTTTGAGTGTTGAAGATGGAAAAAGTTATTTTCTACTAATGATCACTGCATCCACCCAAAATTGTTAGGGATTATAAGCAGTGATATAAATATCTTAAGACTGAACAGAATTTAGAAAACAGCTTATTTAGTCAATACATGCATAGGTGTGGACTAATCTCCATAGCTTTTCCTACAAATTGGCGGCATAATTTTAAAGTGGTATTCAATTTCTCTATTTCAGGAAATCAGAAGAAGGCACAGTAAACGGTTGAAAGGTTTGACTTAAATATTCAGTCAGCATTTGCGTGAACCGTCAGATAAATATAACAATGAAGCGGCCATTTGTAGTATGCTACATTTGCGGGCGCGAATTCGGATCAGCTTCTATTGGAATTCATGAGCCCCAGTGTCTCAAGAAATGGCACCAACAAAATGATCTTCTACCAAAAGAACAACGATTACAACCTCCCGTCAAGCCTGGTGTTCCCCTGCCTCCTCCAGTCGATGCCTCAGTCAATCGTACAGAGCACACGCAAGCCTTAAGTAAATTTAATGAAGCTGCAGCATTGGCTGCAAGCGCAAATTTGGCTCCCTGTCCTAAATGTGGTCGCACTTTCAACCCGGATCGTTTGGAAATACACCAGCGTGTTTGCAAACCCAACAATCAGAGACCGATCAACCATAATTCTTGTCATTTAAGTGATAACTGGGTAAAACCTATTATGGTGGGCATAAATGGAAACAACAACCAACAAAATACTAAAGTAGATAGGGTGAACGATACAGCGGTTACATCCTATTCTGCACTGAGAGGAGGTGATGGAGAAGAACACCTAGGATTAACAAAGCGTGCCAGTGCGGAAGATTTGACACAACTTGGTGCATCCCGAAAAACAGCAAGTGACACTGAATGGGCTCCAGATAATATCGATTTCTCAAGCAAAGCAAAAAGTAAAACAATCAACTTGAGTCATCCCACATCTGTGTCTCACTTCCGACTTTCAAAATAAAAAGCGCATCAAGGATAAAACACTTTGATCGCTTGAAAAAGAGTTCGCTGAACGAAATCCACGAAAAACTTCCAAGACCTTATTTTCAATTACTTCATGATGAACAGAAAGCCCCCGCTAGGAATCCGACTGGTTTCAGCCTTATTTTATGGTTTTGTTTATTTTTAACGTGGTGCAATAAAAAGTTGAGATGAAGCAATCTACCTTCCTAATGTTTGGAACATTTGAAGGCAAAATTAATTTGAATGGAACACACTTGTTTAACAATTTATTATATTAAACTATTTTCTTGATAGAATTATGGGGGTCACTTTTGCAAATTCCTTTAGGATATCTTCGGGCACCTAGTCCCACGGAGAACAGTGCACCTTGAGTAAAAACGAACTATCAAAGTCACGTGCTAATGGCCGTAGTTGCACTTTTATCTTATCCGAGCTTTGTTCATCCGTACTTTTTTACTGATGGTTTTATGTTGCATCTAGATCCTTGGTGGGTTACATCACAAAATAAATTCCAGTTTCCAGAGCTGGACAACTTGTCCGCAAACATTCCATTATCAGTCAGAGAATCATCTTTGATGATCGTAATATAGACTAGACTGGAGAAACGTTNAACAACAAGTTGTGGAAAACTGGAATTTATCGCAAAGCATCCGGCAGAAAGAAATTATGTGAACTGGACATCGCCAACAACCCCCTTTAAATAACACAACTGTTTGTCATATCCATCCACTTTAACTATTAGGGAATGTTTTGCACCAGGTTTTATTCTTTCCAATACAATGGCTGCATTTAGTTGCGATGGTAGGCTTATAGATATTATGATTTTATTTCTTTTGAGGTAGAGCTGTTACTAGCAGAGGTTTGATCAACATTCCGATCGATATGTATAGTGCATATGGTACAAAAATCAGCTCTATTTTCAGTTGCTAATCGTTTTAGAAAAGACCCAAGAGGGTCAAAACGTCTTCACCGAAAACTAGATGTTGGTTTTCTCTCCCTATGCCTAATATAAAATTACTTATATGCATCTAATAATAAGCTCGACAACATTTCATCATCGATATCAGCTCAAATGTCAGATCTAACATTACGACCGTACAGCAACATTCTATTGATTCTTCAGGAGTTTTAAATTAAAAACAATCAATGATTATCAACTCTTCGTCACACCTGAAACCATTAACCGTTAAACAAAGGAAACTGGTGCTCAATCTACCGTCGCACTCCGTGTTTTCTTTCACTCAGAAGAGAAGTAGTGCAACTGCCCAAACTCGTCAATTATGCGCTAACGGTATGAAATGAACAAGTTTGCAGTGGTTTTTTTGCCCAAGTAATGATTTCAGGAGGTAAGCAATGTAGGTTCCTCTGGAACACAGATCAGCAGATGCATACCGTTTTACTAATCAGTTTTGCAAGTGCATTTTCGGTCCACGACTAGTTCGAGTTTTACGTGGACTGATCAAAGTTTAGTTCACTTTTTACTAACATTAATCATGCACTTTCGTACGCCAGTTTTTGTAGCTGTCTTTTGGTTAGCAATTTGGATGATATGTTAGGAGGAAGATAGGAAGGTTAAAGTAGAGTCGAAGAGTTTCAGCGAAGGTTGCAAGGAAAATTAAGAGAATGCACGAACGCCACTGTTTACGACACTCAGCTATCTCACTCATTGTATCTAATCACCGTTTACCACGCTGTCGAGGTTCCCAAATAGGGAGCTTAACGCGACTTATATAACCCAGTCTACTGGTTAGGATTTGCATTCCCTCGTTCAAGCTCTTAGTTTCATCGACCTTAAGTCTTTTACTACCCACTACCTGCCTCGACAAGCATAGCTTGCCGCGGTGTTCAAACACCAACAGTCTACCTTTATCCTGTTCTCTTAATGGCCACTTTCTGCGCTGCATAGCAGAACTGGCCTAACTGCTGGAATATACACTCGAGTCCTCACAGATAGCCGGGCGTCGTAACGGTGCCACAGATGTCTCAAGCTGGCATATACCAACCTTCGGTATGCGTGCCGAAACTTCATATGCACNACAAAAAACCTTGCCCATTTGCTCTATTACCTCCCATGTTAGAGTGAGGCTGGGTATTGGACCAACTCAGTATTGTAGCAATATTTCACATTTTGACGTTGCAAAACGCATACCGAACATGGCTATGCTGGCACTCAAGCTATCTAGAAAAGCTCGCAACTTACTAGGGTCTTCACTTAGAATCACACCGTCATCTGCATACTCCAGATCAGACAGTCTACCACCCGAGTGAGTGAAGATCCGCTTTCAGATTGAGGAAGAATAAAGTAGTGCGTCTACAAAAATTGTCTGTGTTCTAATATTTGCCGAAGACTGAAAGTCTGATCTATTTAGTCTCGATCAGGTCTAAAACCAACCTGGTTCTCACGCGTGCACTGCTCACGTGCAGCAGACAATTGACTGAATATAACACCAGAGAGACAATGTTGATTAAACTCATTCCCCTGTGGTTTTCACAAGAGGAACTGTTACCTTTCTTGTCTGATGACCGATTTTCACCATTTCGTTGGAACTAATTCTTTCTTCCACACTGTTCCCAGGAGTTTCGTTAACTCAAAAAACCAAGGCTGATTCGCCGTCGTTAAAAACCTTTAGGGACAGCTCATCCGCGCCGGAAGCCTTATACTTTTTGAAATGATTGATTTTCCAGGTAACCTCCATTTCAGACAGAGGACTGATTTGACAAGCTGCAGTAAGTATTGGGGTTTTTGGTATACCAGGGCCTGCTGAACTGTGTTCTGTCCGTCGTTCAAAACAGTGCTATGAATATGAAGTAATTTGACTTCAGAATCCTTAACTGTTTCTCGCCCAAATCCGCCGTTATTTTGATTGGCATTCGGATAGCTTCCTTGATTGCTGTCCAGTACTCAGTAAGTCCTTTGGCTGATGTTTGAGCTAAAAAGCAGTCAGAGCGTTCCGCTGGGAAGGCCAATTTGCAACTATCGCGGACATCGTATTGTGGGCATTCATTTCTGGTGGCTTGTCTGCGTAGGGAAAATATGTCTCGATGTAAAGCATAGTCCGTGTCCACGGGTGTTGACAGGTAAGATCGGTAGTCTTCAATGGATCCTTGCCAGCGGTAGCTGAATTTGGTGCTTCACAGGAACAGTCCGTGATCAGTGCAAATTTAGACTAGGTGTTCTCCATTGTCCATCCTTTTGACTGGGATAGCACGTGTACCACCAAGTAGCTTTTCTGATTCGTCCAGGGATCCTAGTTGAGTATTGAAGTCCCCAGCGATTACCACGATGTCCTTTGACCGAGCACTACGGAGCAGTTGAGAGAGGTCTTTGTAGAATTCATTCTTCATTTCTAGCGAACCGCAATCAGTCGGTGCATACACAGATACAACGAATAAGCACCGATTCTTTGTTCCGTGCTGAAACATCCGGAAGTACAGGACAGTCGGCTACTAATCGGATTCCAGTCAAGAAGTCGACACTTGGCCTTAACATGTAGCGCGATCCCGATGGCAGCAACACTGTGAGGTTCGGGTGCCGAATCGCCCGACAGACGAAGAATGACACTTGAGGATGAGCTTGGATGTGGAGAAGGCAGGGAGATGATTGAAGTAGGGTCTTGTACGCGTGTTTCGAAGAAACAGCATACATCTATATTGAAAGTTTCAAGGGTTCTAGCCAAGGCAAAATATTGACCGATCTGATAGAGTGTGTGGAGATTGAACGCAGCTAAGTGAGAAAGGAATTTAGGCTTCGAAAATTCTATGCCTTCTGACAGTTTGATCTTGCAGTAAAAATGCTGAGCGATATCCTATGGGTCTCGTAAACAGGAGGCATCTGGGATTATTCGGGATTGAGAGGAAGAAATAAACAGATGGGAAAGAGGTTTCTCCAAATGGAGCTATGCCTATGACATTACGACACGACATAATTCGCGTCAGCCCACACCAACGAAAGGTTTTTGTTTGAGAACCCTAACCGGAGCCTTCGACTCGAAAGTTTGACCCACCAGGCAGTTGGACGTAGATCAAACACGAGGGCGTGACCGAATCACCCGTGTGGGAACATCTGGAGACCTGTCAGGCAAGACCTTCGGGTTTCAATTTAGTATGTTGTCTTCTAGTGCGTCGACTGTCGGTCCGCTTTTCAGGAATGGCCCTTAGATTCATGCACCCAATGAGGCAAGCGGGACGTGGACGGGACAGCACTTATTTGCCTGGGGTTGTTCAGCTTGAGCGGGCGGTAGCTGTGCAATGAATTACGTCAAGATGCAGTCTCATCATGATGGTGAAAACCGTAGTCACAATCCATGTACACAGCTGCAACCTGTACGATGAATAAAACCGGAATCGAACGTATGCATGCCCGATATCAGCATGTCAAACTGAAGTGTCGATTACTTTTTTCGGTCGAGGCTAATACAAAATTCATATTGCCTTTTATAGTATCAAATTGTTAAGGAAAGAGTACATGGTGTTTATAGTGCAGCGATTTTGATTATGGGTCCATTCGCAGCTATAAGAAAAGCGCAAAAGCACCAAACTACAGAACCGAGGTCAATGGGTCAACGTTTACAGGGCGAGCGGCACAAAAGTGAATTACTATCCATCGGGGACTCAAAACATTGCAAAACTTGTTGCGCGTTCTCCCTCAAGTTATTATCAGATTGTGACATGCTGATACAAAGAGCAAGGAGGCTGCGTAAAGACAACTGAGTGGATGGGACTGTTAATTACGAGACTACATTGACGTTTTGTGTTTGTTGCTGTCTACGACCCGACGAGCTTTGTAGGATTGCTTCTCTCAGCAATTGGCACAGAAAGATCAATGGGTAGGGTCCAGACAAAACTATCTCACAACAGCGCTATTTGCATCAACTATGCAATCTCACTCTAACATAAAAACTGGTAGCAGTCTACCGGTTCCACCCACCCACTCCCACTAGAATGATGTAGGAGCTTTCTCCCGAAAGGTGAGCCTTTTTCGCACTTCATTTGGAAGTC